CCGTTTATTGCATGTATGAACATCGCCGGCCTTCTTGGTCGGTTTAATATTACTTTGTTGCCTTCGGGCGTTTATACCTTGTTTATTTTGGATTTTCTGCCCTTGTATGAACTGACATGCTTGTATGAATTTAGCTCGTCCCGGGCCCGACGAGTGCCCGTAGGTGGCTTTAATTTGGCGAGCGACTATGCTCGACTCTGTTTATGCGCAACCTCGACCCAATTTCGGTTGGCAGGGGTTGCTTGAGTGTTTCGCTCGAGAGGAGAGAATTTTGTTTTGACCCTTGTAGATGTCCCGTTATTCTTGATGGAATGTCGGGTATTTCGGAGCGAGGTTGCTCAGTCGGGCGTGGAGCCCGTAGGGACGATTTGCCCTAGGCGTGAACTGCCCATCGCGAGCTGGGTGTTCTGCCTTATGGGTACGACGACGGTGGTGCTCGGTATAGCTGTCCACGTCGGGCACTATAGATCGTCAACGTCTACCGCGCGATTCCGTGCCATTTTGGTCGTGTGTCGGCCTGTACCTTAGCCTTAAACGAAGTTGGACGTTTTTCCTCGTTGCCCGTGCATGGTTGCTTTTGGTCGAGGGTCCTTGGTGTTGACAGTTTTTAACTGTAGTACTGCTTCAACTTAGCAGCATTCCAGGGTCTTGGTAATGGCTCTCCGTCTAACTGCTCGAGGTAATACGCCCCGGTACCCGTGGTGCCGTGGACGCGGTAAGGTCCTTCCCAGTTCGCGGCCAACTTCCCCTCGCGGGAGTCTTTCTGGTTTCTGCGTAGTACCAGGCTGCCTATTTCGAACTCGCGCTTGATGACCTTGTCGTTGTGGCGTAGAGCCACTCGCTGTTTTAGGGTTGATGGCCGCGAACAGGAGATAGTTCGTCTGGTTGATGGCCGCGAACAGTGCCTGAGCAGTGGCATCTGCTCCGACAGGGGCCTGGACTTCATAGAACCGGGCAGCCTGGCGATAGGCGAGAGCTTCCGGATCGTCTTCGAGTTCTGGGGGAGTTGTCGAGGAGGACGCAGTGTGACCGTCCCTGCGGGAGGAAGGTCCAGGGGCGGTTGTCAGGGGGGCGGCATTGTGGCCGGCACCACTGGGATTGTCCAGGTGCCCATTCTTGTCCGCGGGACCGTTGTTGACGTCGAGGACGCGAGTGTGTTGCTCTTCACGAGTTGGAGAGGCCATGACAGTGAATGGATTGAGCTTTGGTCTTTGAAATTTGTTCGTTAGACGGGGAAGCTTTTTCCCACAGACGGCGCCACTGATCTGACCTGATCAGAAGGTTTGGACCGTCACGGCTGCTCCGAGCTGAAGGCTTTTTGAACGAGGAGGGGGGGTACCTGCAAGGCACTCCGATGCTTAAGTCAGTGGGAGTACTAGCAGATAATAGAGTTGAGGTTAGAATTGATGATTACCTGACCCTCTGGAAGCAGAGGGTATTTATAGCCCCCAGCGCTGGGCCAAGGTTCCTTCACTGGGCCGGGCGGATTTGGCCCAATGGAGGAACTGCCAGGTCCTACGTGGGTAGTGGGGATCAGCACGTGGTCCCCTCCCTGGATGTGGTGCGTGAAGTGCGGGCGGACAGAGACGCGGTCTTTACGGAGTATCGTTGGGGCAATGGTGACTGAGTCTGCCCTAGCAAGGTAGCTTGAGTCCATGTCGAGCAGTGCAGCATGATGTCGAGCTCGGCGCCAAGACCCCGAGCTGGACAGCGAATGTCGAGCTGGAAACCAGGGCATAGAGCTGGACGGCAGTCTGTCGAGCGTGACTTCGTCGCGTGGGCTGGCACACTGAGATGTCGAGGTGGACATCAGGGTGTCGGGCATAGACGTTGTGGTCCTTAGTGAGTCCCATTGGACTGGGCCTTAGTAATGCTTTTGGGCCTGTCGGGCCCAGTCCAGAACACTTTCACATACGCCCAAATCACTAGGTAAAGCTGTGACAGAGTCACCACCAGATAGTTTATAACTTCCATCTCAAAAGCAATGAAGGACATGCAAATATCCAAAACTAAGAAAAGGCATTCATAAAAAGGAATGGTGTAATCGCCATACCCTATCCATATGATTGTATTAACTTCATCAAAGCTAATGTGATAATACTTACTATTAAGAAACAAACATAATAACATAATTGAAGGGTACACAAAGCTCAATTAATTCGGTTGTGCGATGAATATAAACTAACTTAATAAACTAACAAATAAGAAATAAAGTTAAAAGGTAGTACACTGATAATATAAAATAGTTTTACAGGGTCATCTAATAAAAAACAAACATTCTACTATATCATTAAAAAAATTTAAAATAAAAGAATGACTTAATTGGATATATAATTGTGATTGATTAACGATATAAAATTATATTATACTGTGAATTTATCAACCATGTGAATTTATCAACCACTTTCTCTAAGAAATATTATGATAACAACGATTAACTCGTCACATCAAATAATTTTTTCTTTTTACATAAATAAAATTATGGTTCAAGGGAGATTTATAAAAACAATAAATAAAGTAAATTTTGTAAAAAAAAAAAGTAAATACAGGAAATAAAATAAAAATATTTGTGAAAGAAAAATATAAAAAATAGAAAAGGAATTCTAGGTCAATTTGATCTGATTTTTTTTACTGAAAAACTGAACTCGTGAAAACCTGTTACCTCATCAATGGGTTCTTCTAAGCAATTGGCAAAACTCATTTCCACCATTGCTTTTTCCACTTATTTCTTTATCATCATTTTTCAACTTCCCATTTTCAGGTATATCACCTTTTCTCTTTCACCTTTTTCTTTTCAACTCTTCACTATCTCTGAAAAGTAAAAGCTTTCTTTATTATTCTTTCTATTACGCTGTGCCCACCTTTCATTATTATTTAATTTTATGTCAATTACATGATTATTGTAGTGTCATTGCAATCAGATGGTACATTTTCAATTTTATATTCTGTTAATTAGGGTTAATCAATGGTGTAACGTTTAGGTTTTGTTTCTGTTGTTGTTTTCAAATTTGTGTACTAGTTTTCTGTTATGTGGATCAAGTGTAATTTATTGAACATAGTGTTGATTATGACACTCAACTACCAAATTGAGGTGCAAAATCTTATTTGCTACAAATTCGAGTAATTGAGTTTTGCACAAGGACTTGCTCTTATACCCATAATAATTTGATAAAATATATAAATTGAATTACATGTATCAGTATCGTGTCACATCTTTGTTTAGTGGTGTCGGTGCTACGGTGTTCTTATGTAAACATCAACTAAGATTCAAACTTGTATTGTATCTTAATGGAAGTTCACTAACCACTTAATTCTAACTACTTGGTTAGCCTATGATAAGTGATTGATGTAGTATAGGTGTTGCAAACTGGCGCCCACCTCGTTTAGACCCGCATCGCAAAAGCTCGAAAAGAATCTTGATAAGTGGGCATAGTTGAAGTTGCAGACCTAAAATCTTGATCTGCCCTAAAAAATATGAGGGTGGGGCTGGGAAGGCCCGCAGACACTGCAGCTCTAATGTCTAAAATGCAAAAATTTATGTTAATGTCTGAGTCCACAAAAGCTCGAAAAAATGAAGCGGAGCGGGCACATAAGAGTGTGTGTGTCTATAATCTTGGTCTGTTCCGCAAAAAAGTGCAGGCAAAACAAGCATGTCCGGCATATGGGACCCGTTTCGCCAACCTGTAGTATTTGCTAGGAGAGTTTATAATTCTCTCTTTTTGAGCATATGTCAAAACAAAACTCAAACTCCAACATATCATACAATCAAGGTGGAATGTATAAAACTATGACAATGCTCACCCAAAAAAATTGACATTAATTGGATTCATAATTGCAGTTTAACTGGCTCAGGGTCATAAGTCATATACTAATAGTGTGTATTTGTTTTTAATTCTTGCAATAACTAACACCAAAAGCTTGAAATGAAGTTCTGATTTAATACATTCAATTTCAAATCCTGTTTCAGTTAAAATAAAAGAAAAAAACTTCTCTCTGTATTGTAGTGCTGATGCTAACAAAGGCTTTATTTCTTTCTCAGTGTTCCATGCAGAACTGGAATCTGCAAGACACCGTTAGAATTGACATCTTCTCAATTAATTGCAAGTGAGGTTTTTCCTCTTTTCATAGTGAAAGCTCTTATCTACCCAGGAACAGTTGCAAAGGCTATTTTCAAGCAGAAAACCATCCCAAGTTACAAAAACTTGTTGCACAACTTCAACAAAAGGACAATCTCTGTTGAGTCGGAACTCCAACGCCTAGAGGTTGGTTAGTAACTGAAAATTAATAAAAATGTCTCAAATCTGTTGTTAAATAGTAGTAGTGCTAAGCTATAACTTATTTAAGTAAGTTTAGACGAAATAGCCTTTTAAGTAGGCTAAACGGCCAATTCAGGTTTTAGAAAGGCTAAGTTGAGGCCTAAACCTAAGCCTACGATAGGCCACAGGCCAGACATATGCCTTGAAGTTTTTGGCAGGCCAAGAATAAGCCTTGAAAAACTTGCTCAGCCCAGCCTATTCCCACCTCTGTGTAGCGGAATTTGAACAAATTGATATTCCTCTGCATTACGTTATTTAGTACAAATTTCTGTCAAATAATGGCTACAGCTGCATATCACAGTTGCATAGCCGAATTTGAGCAATCCTTCTTTGAAAGGCTTAGCTTTGGCACTTATTTTTTGCTGGGTTCTTTCTGCAGGTTCTTGCAGGAAGCTATTTGTGTGTAGGAGGAGCAATCTTGGGTCTGATAAAACCAGGAAGAATGGGACTTTTTGGAGTACTTCTTCTTATGTTGGGTCTGATCAGAGAACATGTCATGGGAAAATCTGATTTGACTCATGCAAAGGGTATCCAAATCTATCCAACCATTTTTATTGCTCTAGTCTCAGCATTCTTCTCCATTAGAAGCGATGTTAGAGCGATAATTCGTACCTTTAATCTGAAGCGTGTTTGGAAGGCAAAACATTACTAAATGACTGGCAAATTGAGATAGGCATACATGCATTATGTATTATGCATCTGCATCATCCATGATGTAACATGCCAGGATTCTTGAACCTTACATGAGTACACCACAGGTAGGTAGTTAGGAATACTTCTGCTTACTGTTAAAGGCAACTGCAAACACAGAAATACTAGAGTTCTTAATCTTAGGCTAGCCATTGGAGAATATACATAATTTTTTCTCGGATTATTTGTCAATGAGAATGTGTTGGTAGACAATATACATAGCACCTGATTCAACATGGCACAATTTTTAGAAAGTTTATAATGCAAATTAATGTGCACTTTTAGCTCTTTCATTGCATTTGTTAAATCTAAACAAACGGATGGTGATTTCCAAGAACCAAACAAGAAATGTACATAATGAGTTGTAGTTGTAGACATAGTGAATGTTTGCATTAAGGTTTTAACAAACAGTATTGCAAATCCTGCTACATGAAATGCAACATATTTGTCTCGAAACTAACAAAATTCTGTTGGTTACAATGCAACCATAACCATATATGGCCACTTGATTGTATGCATGTTTGTTTTGGTGTTGGAGGAACGTTGAACGCAAACTGAAGTAGAAGCTTTTATAAACCACAAGGAATTGGCATGCCTGCTGCGAGTTGGAGGTCGATGGCCTCTCTTTCAAACAAACAATTTCTTAATTAGTTAAATGTAATTGTTCTGTATAGGGGATCTGTAGGATTGTTTAAAAATATGAATCATGCTTCTTGTCAGGGTGAATACTATGCACAGATCATCTAAAGTTTGCATGTGCATTAGTACATTATTTTTTCACCCTTGAATTGAATGAAAGAGTCCTGGCAGAATTAAGATAAATACTCTACATTGCATTTTCTCCTTGCACCCAAAAAGCCAAATTGAAGGAAACTACTCACATCTAAAGGTGCCTAGTTGGAAAATGCCACCTTCATCCCCCTGCGACCCTTCACATTTCATTTTGCATCCTCTACATCCTCCTTGGAATCAATTACTCTCTTTACATTTTTTTTTTATGTCTGGGTTTGGAAACCCGGTGCCGTGAGCCACCACTGTCGCATGTTTAGTATTTTTTTCAGGGTGATTTTGAAAAGCTGCTATGTGTAGGCTCTGTTTCACTTTGATTTTTTTACCGTGATTTTTAAGTTTCCCAAACACACTAATACAATTTGCCCAACTTTTCTATGCTGGCTTTTAGTGAATCATCATTCAAAAAATGGAGATTGTGAATAAAAATTCAAGTAGAGGTTTATTTTGGGATCAAATGTACATGTTTTTTTAAATGAGTCTAGTGTGTCTTGATCATCCAAAGTTAAAAAATATTGTATACCATGCACAATTATGTGTGCGCCGAAAAGCTCGTGTCTTCTTGAATGACAAATTAACAATGCGACCTTAATTGAGAAATATTTACTTTAGAATTAACAATACAACACATTTTTAAAATTTCATTCAATACTAATTGTTAGAGAAATATAATTTTTTTAGTTATTTCAAGAATTAGTAATCATTTATAATTTAAAATGATCTTTGTAATTTAGAAAAGAACTTTAACAATTTTCTTTAATGAATTTAAAGAAAATTCTATTTGTAATTATCTATTGATCGTACCTGACCAGAGTGATCGTCAAGGCCTTATGTCGAGCTGAGGTTGAAAGCGAGATGGAGGGGTACTTGCAAGATACTCTAATGTCAAAATAAGTTCAGAGAGAGTGCAAGCAAGTGTGAGTATGAATATGAGAATGAATATTTAGCCCTCTCAAATGAGAGGGTATTTATAGCCTCCAGCGCTGGGCCAAGGTCCCCATTGTTGGGCTACGTGAAGCCCAATAATGAAGACTGTCAGAACTTACGTGTGTATGGGGTCCATCAAGTGGACTTCCCCTGGTCAACTGCTCTGTGAGAATAGGAGTTGGACCCGTGATTTCCGGAGGACAGTTAAGATGACAGTGACGTGGACAGGTGGACCATATTTCCCAATGGATGCGTGGGGAGTTGTCCAACGGTCCTTAACTTAGGTTACTTGTTTTTCCTTATACAAAGGTGTTGGATGGGCCTCCTACCCGTGAGACAAGCGCAGACCTAGTCCATATCACCTATATAAACACAATGAATCTCTCAATTGTAATTTATATTAGGGAGTAAAGTGTGATCTAAAACCCTTCGTATAGGTAAAATATAATTATTTATCTAAAAGAGAAAAAAATTTAGATATTAAGTTTAATGATGATAAATTATACTTTATCACCTCAAATATAATTTATACTAAAAAAAAATGAGATGGCTCATTAGTAGGTATACACCCTCTGGTAATAAAATATGCTTAATTCTAACTAACTTTTACATTTAACCCATTATTAGAAAAAAATTCAAATAATTATTTTTTTCAATTTTTTTTTAAATAATCACTTTTTCAAAAAATTTATCAAAATGACCACTTTTCAAATAAAAAAATTCGGTCACACAGAGGAGTAGCCACTCTATGTGGCGCATGCATTCAATTTAAAGAGGAGGCGCCACACTGCATGGTTTGTCCTCCTCTGTAAAGCCATGCAGTGGGGCGCATGCATGTATTTTTTAGAGGAGGCGTCACCCTTCTTGGCTTGACAGTGTTATTGCAGTTTTCTATAAATACAACCACCCATTCTCTTCATTTTTCCACACCATTTGTTACATGACTCTTAGAAAATGTCTTCAACTCCCTTGCCAAAGTTTTCACTGATCAAAAGAGATGCGCGTGTTATTTTTTCAGCGACAAAGTCTTTGGTGAAGATCAAACTCTAGAACACGCAAACGTTCGAGCATTTTCAGAGGCACTTGATTCGCTGGTTGGAAGGAGACATTCCTGAAGGTGAACAAATCATAAAAATAGAAAGGCACATCACAGTGAGGAACGAAAATGGAGTAAGTCGATCATGGAAAAAGGTGAGATATGACGCTGATGTCATGATGATGATGCTTAGACCAGAGGATATTGTGTTGATGGTCTTTATCTCTTAGATATTATGATTTATTTAGTTGTTTTGTCTGTTTATCATGTTGTTGTATTGTTGTCCTGAGTATGTGGTATTGTAATTTTTATGTCATGATGTGAAAGTTGTTGTAATCGAATGATAAATTGAACACAAAATGATAACTCGAATTTAAATTGAAATACATTGCGTACAACAAATTAAACACTCTGGATAGTTTGCTATAAAAAAGTTATGTTGCAGAGCTAGACCCAATATTCGGATAATTTTTCCGATTGTGTCCGGGAAGACGACATGTATCACATAATCTTATCATTTTGTTGGCCTTATCCATTTCAGTTCTAATACGAGTGCTTTTCGGGGCGCCCATTTTTCTTCTGTCGCATTTGTTCATTGTGTCAAACAATGTTCCCTTCATAAGCAGGCCAGTAATCCTCCTTTGCCAATACGGAGAAGGTATTGATGTACACACTTAAAACACTCTTTGCCGTGTATATAGGGGATATATGTTGTATTGGGTCCAAGCGAACATGCGAACATGCCGCTATGACATGAGAGCAAGGCATGCAAAATGCTTGAAACTTTCCGCAATCACACCAACCTCTATCTAGTTCGACCCGATAATATCCCCTTGGCCTCCCCTCATTATGATCCATTGTCTCTTGTACACTAAACCAACCTTTAATATGGTCAAACATGGTGACACTATGGGTGTTTGCTTTTGCAGCCTCCTCGTTAAATGTTTTCATCGTGCATTCACTGAACAACTGCCCTGATTGTAACACTGCCCTCCATTTTGAACTTCTTGTGTCAAACAATGATCCCATTTTGAAATATGTTGCTCTAACCAAAGCGGTAATTGGTAGGTTTCAGATGCCTTTGAATACAGAGTTCAATGATTCCACCAGATTTGTTGTCATGTGGCCCCATCGTTGACCATTGTCAAATGCCCGGTGTGATATGGTGGAAGAACTGACTTGAGGTTTGCGTTTGTGTTTGCAAATATTGCGGTTTAGCAAGAGTCGCCACCGACTTTTCTTTTATCCAAAAAGGAAAGGTGAAAAAGCACAGGAAAGACCTTTAGAGATGTTTTCTCGGGTTCAGGGGGTATATTATGAAAAGGAAAGGTATTAACATCCTTTTCATCATGGTTTTCCATGGGTTCTTAGTTACTCGCTAGATCACTTGCTTTTGTTTGAAATGTGTGCTTATGGTGTGGGTTTTGAAAGTATTTTGAAAATGGAACTTTGTAATGGTTCTCGTTTCTATAAGAACGCATACAAAGTGTTTGTTTCAAAAATAGTTCAAAGATGTGTTTGTGAGATGTGTTTTTGAAAGTATTTTGAAAATGTAACTTTGTAATGATTCTCGTTTTTATAAGAATGCATACAGAGTGTTTGTTTCAAAAATAGTTCAAAGATGAGAGTGTGGGTGTATAAAAATGTTTTTTTGTTGTGAGCAAGCGAGCAACTAGGAGCAAATCTACCTACTCAAAAGGTCTTAGATATGTTTTTCCTCCTCCTTTAGACGTTGCTATCTTACCATTGATTTGGTAAGAAGCCCCATCGTTGGATGTGAAGGGACGGGCATGGGCCATCGTATAACCATGATAGCAATCTTGTGAGATGACTTAGCATTTTCTTTTAGGGACTAAGATCATTTTGAAAGGCAACTTTGGTAGCGTCATCGAGGGACTATGATCTTATATTTTTCGATTTGTTTGTGCTAAGACATTCCACATGCATAACATGGCTATTTTGTAAGGCAACAAGTGGAATTACCCTAAGGGTGTAAGTGTGCAAATGTGTTTTATTTACATACATAATTTTGTCTTGAATTAGGGTTTGATAAACATTGGTTTTAGTCTTTCCATGCACACCCTAATTACTAACAGTATATGAAAACAGTAAAAGTGCGGAAAATAAAGATTCTACACTATTACAATCATTAGGGGAATAGGATGTACAAATTTACAAATGGGGATTGCAAGGAATTTAAGTCCTAATTATCTACTATAACCATATTGAATGGATAAGAATGTACAGGAAATGAAAAATGTTTGTTTCGTTTAGGAAAAGAAATAAAAGTGTTTAAGAAAATATTTTTGGTCTTTTTGATTAATGAAAAATAAAAGTGATGGTAAAAATAATAAAAGGGAAGAAAACATAATCAGCGTAACTGTTGAAAAAGAAGAGGTCAGAAGTTCTGACTCTGACGTGCTGTACAAACAGAAACAACATTAGTAGAAATATAGAAGCTCAAAAGTTCTGGATCTTTTGAGAACTCAGAAGTTCTGATGCAACTGACAGAACTTCGTCTCCCTTCTCCATGTTGGTCAGAATATCTGCAACTTAGTCATTTCTT